CACAAGTTATTACCATATAAGTTTCATTGCAGTAATTGAGGGGTCAGAGAGACAAACACTGTTCTCTGGTTGATCAGTGTTAACTTTCTCAAACATAATACTTTTCACATTTGATGTTCTGTCAATTTGATGATTTTCTTTTGTCTTTTTTTCTTTGTACGAAATCAGTTCAAAATTGGATATGTCTGATTTGAATTTCACAATTTTACACCAACGGTATCTCCATCATCAATTGATCAATCCAAGTTCATCTCCAAGCCTTTTTAACTCGTTGACTATAACAGCTTTCTTATATGGGTCTTGTTTACACCAAGAAATGATTCTTCTCGTTTGCTCATACGTTACTAACCTTTTCTATGCATTAAAACTTCATAGTTTTTGCTATTTTGGAGCGCAGTCGAAGGCTTATTCTTCCTCTAGAGAAGAGTTTTCTCTGGTTCTTTACGATCCCAAGAATAGTGGGAATAATGGCGATGGCGAGAACAGTGGTGGCAAGGATAGTGAGAAGGAAGGTGGAAATTTTCAGAATTTATTCACAACACTGAAAAGCGTTTGTTCGATCTCGTTGTGAAAACTATATTTGTGTTGCTATAGCTAATAGATCCGTTGGTTTTCTTTGATGATTGATCCGATCGATCCATCCATGTTGCTATATCTAATAGATCTGTTGGTTTTCTGCTATAGCTAATAGATCAGATCCATAGCTAGATTTGTGTTGATAATCTGTTTATTTTGAGCCCTCACTTGCCCTCCAAGTGTTTGTTAAAATGAAATGTTCGTAAAAATGTTGATGTTTTTCTATTTTTTTGTTGCTCATATAATCTCTTCATCCTTAGGGATCCTAAGCACTCTGAAGTTGTCGATGGCATCATCAACTGTGTCCTCTCCATGCAATACTGGGACATACCAGAAACGAGGACGTAGTCTTCAACAAAGGAGGGTAATAGCTGCTAGCTATATGTCTCTCATATATATGTGTTTATTATTCGTCTCTTATTCATTTTTTTTATGTACATCTCTCTCGTGTTGTATTTGATAGATCAGAGCACCTCTCTCTCCTCTCT